CACAACAGCAGCTTTGTGCAGCTCCGTGATTAGATGTGCGCCGGTGGTCAGCCAGTATTGGTTATCATCAAATGGATACGAAAAATTATGTTTGAACCCCACCTACTCCGACCAACTTTCCCCCTTCTATGTATTTCCGGGCAACACCCTTCCCCTAAATCAACCATGTAATCGTATATTCAATAAACATAAATATAAAGACTATAAAACTGAAAAGTGTATTGATGGGGTGCTTGAATCACATCTGCACCGTTGTCTCTGCGAACAATGCACCCGTTTTTACAGGTAATCTGTTTTGGTCGATTCATCCCTTTGTCTACGGCCATGTAGCGCTCCTTACGATTTGCAGTAGCGTTACTTGTTGATCTGACCGGAACCCCATACGGATTACCAATCGGAAACATTAGTCCAAATACCGAGTGAGGTACATTTTCAAAATTTCCCCCCGTTTTTTTGTATTATTTCCTTGTTTGAAGATTCACTGATCTAAATCCGTTTATAAATAAGCGTGCTCAACTGTGATTTTCTGACACACCGCTTCAGGTAAACTTTGTGACACACCAAAATTGCATCCAGGTGTGTGGTCCGGTGTACTGTCTATTGCAATCGGGGATAGCATGGCGGCACTTGTGGGTCGTGCATGGGGTCGGATACGCTGGCCTGGCACACATCGAACACTCATGGGCTCGACAGCGTCTTTTTTATCTCAGGTTTGTCACTGCTTTATTTCCACTAATCTTCGTGTATTTTCGACTACTTTAGAACCGCGCCTGGGTGATTCTAACACCCAGTCACTAGTTTTTCTTTACGCTCCCATCTCGTTCCCCACTGAATGGTTCTGACCAAACGATTAACGGTTGCCTGTTCAAAATGGGTTCCATTGGATGGTGTGATGTATGGGTCGTTTGTTCCAATCGATATCTGTGCAGTTGTAAATTCATTTGCATATTGTTCCGCCTCACACACACACACACACAAGACATTATGAAGTGCACTTAATGATCGTTGTATTTGAGAATATCGGTCCGGATTGTTGTCATGATCTCGTGTAGCTTTCGGTTTCTCTATTCGTTCTTATCGGGTTGTGAGGACCAACCCAATGAACTTGGAGCAATAAGCACAACCGTCAATATGCATCAGTTAGTTCATGCAAATATGTACAATTTAACCACACTGTCATAGTGACGGACTCTCTAAGTACAGTGCTATCAGGTGTCAAAATGAACACACAATAGACCACTTGGGCTGTTCCATCAATTTCTCACACTCGAGACACAATGATCTGATTGTCTGTTACGGTCAATTAGATATTCTCGCGAAAATGTCACGTGAAACGTGCACATGGGGTTTAGGGGGCTTCAAGTATTAACACAAGTGACTTCCGCACTGCTGATAAGCGCCATTATGGAGGGCTGCAGAATCTCTCATGGGGATACACATACAATTGTCAACTCTTTTGCAGTTTAGAATTATCGGTCATTCTGTTTGGTGTTTAATTGAGCTCAGACCCTGTTGTGCGAAGTAACTATTATAATGTCTTTTACACTTGTCTCAGTTCATACTGTGTGCTAAACATATCGCCGTGCAACAATCTTTATGATGTACTCGGGGGCGTAATATTGTCCAGTTGTCCAGGCCAATGCAATTGAATTTTCTTGATTGATTTACAGCCAGCGCTTTCTACTACTCAACGCCTGGTCTGTATGTAAACCGCAATCCATTGGGTATGGGCAATGGGTGGGTGATCGCTTTATCTTACACCCCATCTGGTGTGATTAGATGTGCAGGTGCCCAATACACTCGATACCCAAACTGATGACCTAGTGCCACAACTAGCAATGTGTGAATGTATTTCTTATGTCTGTTCTTGGTTGGTTTAGAATCAATTTTTTAGTCAACTCCTCTAGTTAAATTTCTAGTGGTTCATCGACGCGGTCCTCTCACTTCGGTGATAAAACACCCCGCCACGGGAGGGTAATGAGTAGAGCTTCGTCATCAGAGGCTAATTGAGACGCTCGGTCGCATAAAAGCATTTGGCTAGGTGCAAGAGAAGGGTGACCGGCTCCTACCTAAGACACCCACCCATAACTCGCTAAAGCTTGAATACAATACAATACAATACAATACAATAGAATCCCTGACCATACGACGGCTTTCTGTAGCTGAAGCCTACGATGAGGCTCGTTTGACGAGTTTGTATATCTCCTTGTCATCGTCAATGGTCGATTGTTAACCACGGTATAGTGTGAAGGTTGTAACAAAAATACTTGTCACACGCAGAACCCGTCCGGTTACCAGGAATTTCTCCAACCTGGACTAACATATAAGTACTGTGGCATCACAAACTCAAACTGAAATCAAGGACACCAAATATGGACAGAATTATTATGAACTTCATGAATCACAATTGGAATATTCAGCATACGGTAAAAGCTGACCCACTGAACTAGTTTTCCACTGGATTTCGTTTTATCTGCCAAAAGAAGTAAATAAATATCCCGCCTGACGAGTTGGAAGGGAAGTAAATACTGAGTGCCTTGTTGTTGTTGGTCTCCTGCACACCAATCTGGATATCGCGAAATTTCTTGGACTGATAAGGGAGGTTTTCGGTAACTGCTACTCTTTAAATGCAGTTTAAATGAAGTTATATTTTTCACAGATGAAGGTTAGTATATCTTCTCGCTTGAGGTAGGTAGTAAAGAACGGTTAAACCAGAATAAATATTATTTCTTCACATTTATGCAGTTTCTATAGGGGTTAAGTTCAATGTCAAATCCATTCAATTACCGCGCAGTAGCTGGGATTTTAATTTAATCGAAAACATTTCCCTGTATCAGAAACGGATAAGTTAGCTGCTTCGACAATAGTCGTCAGTGGTTAGGGCGCGGGATGTATTAGAGGAAGCTGGCAAATTCTGTTTGGCAGTCAACTTGGTGGACTTTATGCTAAAGCGACTGCCTCCAATGCTCATAAATGAAGAAGGGCAAATGGAACATGGATGAGACGAAAGTACAATACGTGTATGAACTCTATGAGTAATTTAATAAACAAATTCTAGTTACGTTTTCTACTGTGGCTTTGTTATTTTACAACCATCGTCAAAATCGCGAAATCGTGCATCATAATGACATGTGGCTAATAAAAGCAAAGACATAAGTGGGTGTTATATTAAATATGTTGCGTCTGATTTGGGGCAATATCGTAATTAATTCCGTGAATGAGGCTGGAAAAACGAAGCAGTGAGTGGAACAAGTGTGATAAAAATCGGGGTGTTCCACGAGTTTGGTCAATATCTGTACACGCAGAAATACTTATATCACGCACCAGCGAAATACTCTGTTCTTGAAATTTGTCAAAAGATTATGCAATCGATTGATACAGGCAAACGGTCCTAGACGAAATTCGATGAATTTCCACCACAAGAGATCTAATCGGAATATCATACTCAATGACTGAGAGAGTTTACTCACAGGCGATTTCGGATTGTTTGTTCATCTACCAGATTAGGGAAAGCACATGAAGCGACCAAGCATGAAAATGTTCGCTGACACGATTGAGGAGAGCGACACTCGAATTCATTTTGGTTATTCATTCTCTGACCACTAGAAATGGTTTCTTTGATTATCTACCGGTGCTCTCCAACTCGTTCGGCGTATAGTCAAGCTGAAAGGTAACCTCATATGTCATGGATAACTGTAACTCATTCATATCACCACCTGTCTCATTCACTAAACTATAAATGATCCCACAGATGTGATCAGTATGTAAAAAGGTGCTACGGGTTGAGCTCTGATACAAAAGAGTTGAGAACCTATCTGATGAAGCTGAGCAGCAAACGTAAAAGCCGCAGGTAACCGATTGTTTCCATTGGCATTGTGGATTGAATGTATTGATCAGCTAGGGAATGATAGAGAACAATGTGATTTCTGTTAGCTATTGAATGNNNGGTGGATAAAACTCTACTGGTCCTGTCAACTTTGACATCACCTTTGAATGCGAGTTTTCATAAAAAGCATTTTCTTCTCTCCCTTTAGTATTTTGTCGGTTTATTCTGTTCATTCCAGTTGCGGTCGATAGGCTTCTCAGGATAGCCATTTTCCGGTAAGGTTCTCCTCACTATACTATACTACACTACACTATACTATCCAAATGGGCAACCAAAGACAGCAACCAAAACCCACGAACGAAAATGCATGGTTAATGGTTGTAAAAACTGAAACCGAAACTATACCTTTTCAACTTCAAGCGAATCCGTTGTGACTTCAAGTGAATCCGCCGTAACTTCAAGTAACTCATTCATATCACCGCCTGTCTCATTCACTAATTTATAAACGATCGCACAGATGTAACNCAATAAAGATAAGAACCTATGCGATGAAGCTAATTAGCGAAGGGAGAAGCCGCAGATAACAGATTGTTGCCATTGGCATTGTGGATTGAATGTGGTAATCAGCCAGGGAATGACAGAGAAAAATATGATTTCTGTTAGCTAGTGAATAGGTTCGAATTTAATCTTACTATTCAGGTGAAATACTGTTACTCCTTTCACCATTATTACCATTGTTAAGTATCTTGTCAAGTGTTCATTTCAATGTCAGACATACGTAGACAATCGCATTTGATTCAAAGGAATCGGTTTTATTCGAGAGAACCTCGGTCTCAATGGAATTTACTCATTGGGTTATTGAGGGCTCAGACTGACTCTACTTATGTAATGAATCATGCTCCCATTCACGTTTGGGCATAGTGACCGACTTATCGATCCATCTTGACGTGATTCACTTCTTACCC